GCTGTGTCAGAGCTGTGTCTGAGCTGTGTCAGAGCTGTGTCTGAGCTGTGTTTGAGCTGTGTTTGAGCTGTGTCAGAGCTGTGTCTGAGCTGTGTCTGAGCTGTGTCTGAGCCATGTCAGAGCTGTGTCAGAGCTGTGTCAGAGCTGTGTCTGAGCTGTGTCTGATCTGTGTCTGAGCTCTGTCTGAGCTGTGTCAGAGCTGTGTCAGAGCTGTGTCTGAGCTGTGTCCAGGCTGTGTTCGAGCTGTGTCTAGGCTGTGTTGTGGCTGGCTCTGGGAGCCATCCAGGGCCAGCACTGTGGCAGGGGCTGCAGGGCAGGGTGTGCAGGATGCCTGCTCAGAGCCGGGCCTGGAACCCCAGATGCAGACCTGGCAGCTGTTGTTCCCTGTTCCCTGGGGTGCTGAGAAGCCCCCAGACCCCTGCAGCTCTGGCCCCCGGCCCTGGCCCTGCGCTGGCCACGCCACTCTTTCAGGGGACGTTGGAAATTGTGACGCTGCCCATTCAAAGTTCCACTCAAAACACTGCAGCACCAATGTTGGATGCATTTCCAAGGCCCTGGATGAGGCTTTAGCCTTGGGTAAGACCTTGGGTGAGTTTCCTGGCCAAGCTGGCAAGTCAAGTGTCTTCTGGGCTTGTTTATATTAAAAGGAAAAAAAGGTTTAGAAAAAGTGAGTGCCATGCTTGGTTCAGCCAGTCCTTTAAAATGAAACTGTATGGCCACACAGCAATCTGATAGGGTGGGGGAGGAAAAAAGAGCAGCTAACACAGAACAGCATAAAAGGAGCAGAAATTCCAGAGAAAGGGCTCAGCAGGAGAAAAGGAGGCGCAGTTTAATGGGAAGGGCATTCAGTCACAGCTGCTTGGCTGTGCCAAATCCAGACAGGCTTTGTTTGGTGTATGTCTGACAGAGCAGTGCTGAGCAAAGCGTGTTCTCTGAGGTGCCTGCACTGCCCATGCCCTTCTCCCCTGGGAGCAGGAGGGTCCCAGGGCTCTGGTCACAACCATGTGGGTCCAGCCTTGCTCAAGGACTGAGGCATCCCTTAAACCTTCCTACCTGTTGTGGCACCGCAGTGCAGAGACCTCCAGCTCAAGAGAGCTGAATTTAAACACCCCTGAGTCTTAGTGGTGCAATTCTACGTGAAATGGTGTATTTCTCACACATACGCTGCAATTATGCAACTCAGCTCCCAAAGAGATGATTTTTTTTAAAATTTAATTTTGGGAGGACACATTAAAAATGAAACAAAAAGCACAGTGTTTACCATGTCCAAACCACAAAATTTCAGTGAAGAGGTTACTGGATATCAATCTGTGGAAAACTCAACTTTCCTCCAGTCTGAAGGACTAAGCTGGCTTTCAGAAAGGAATTTCTTCTTCTTGATTGAAGTAGGTGTCCCTAAATGCACAGCACAACTCTTTTGGGGTGTTTTGCATGACAAAGGACAAAAATACAGAACTAACAAATCTTCTGCCATCTCCATCCACCAACGTTCTGCTGTGAATCTCTGTCTTGGTGTAACCCCAGCAAATAACTAAACATCACACAGCCACACAATCACACAACCCTTCCAAGGGGGATGGGGGGAAAAAAAGGGAAAAAAATCTTTTGATTTAAGATAAAAACAGTTTAATAATTGAAACAAAGTAATATATAATAACATTAATGATAATTTTATTGAAAAAAATATAAACCCCAAGTGGAACAAGTGATGCCCAATACCCACTGATSTGTGCCCAGCCTGTCTCCCAGCAGTGATCAGCCCCTCCCAGGAAGCTCCCCCAGTTCACACACTGGGGATGATGATCTATGGCATGGAATGTCCCTCTGGCCAGTTTGGGTCAGCTGTCCTGGCTTGTCCCTCAAGCTTCATGTGCAGCTCCTCTCTGGCAGAGCATGGGACACTGAAAACTCCTTGACTTGGGCGAGCACCACGTGGCTAATGGTTTGATTGTTGCCATCAATATTCTTCTCACCCTGATCCCAAACCCAGCACCGTGCCAGCTACTGAGAGGAAAGTTAACCCTCTGTCAGCCAAAACCAGGGCAATGTCAGACACTCTAGAGCATGGAGAGTAGGAGGTGCCTCACTGGGAGCAGAGAGCCCTTGGTGCTTCCATAGTGGGAGAAGCTTAGGGCTCTGGGGGCATTTACCTAAGCCTGACCCAGAGCTGCAGCTCTTTGCACCTCCTGGAGTAGAGCAGGGAGACCGAGGCTGTTTCCTGTGCCCAGATGCCACCACGAGAGTGACAACTGAGGTGGCACTAAGAGGGTTCAGCCAGAAAAGGGTTCCGAGAAGAAATCCAGGCTAGACCCAGGCAATGCTCCCCTTCRCCCACATCCACCCTCTCCTCTCCTGCAGGCTGGGTTTAGCAGGAGCCTGTGAGGTGGGACTTTGATGGGCCGAGATCAGAGAATGGCAGATGTGTGGGAATTATCTCTCCAGTGGATTTCAGACACAGCTCAGCTTTGTGCTTTCCTTCCTGGGCCGCCCCTAGATCTGCTACCAGTGCTGTGCTGCAGGAAATGTGCTTGGTGCACGTGTCAGGCAAGGAGAGGCTCTGGATGTGTGATGTGAAGATAAGTGTTATCATGARTACCCAGCTATGTTTGGGTTCTCTAACTCAGCTGAAAGAAGCCACAGGTGCTGGTCCATCCTGGAGGAGCTGCTGTTCCTTCCATGGTCTCATACAGAGCAGCTCTGCAGTGCCCCAGCACTGGCACCACCAGGCACCCAGCTCCTCCCTGCACCGAGTCTCTGTGCTCCCTGCTGTCCCTGCAGTCCCAGCAAGGGGTGGGTGGATGAAGGAGGTTCCTGTGCTGGCCTCTGTCTACCTCCATGACCTACCAGTCCTCCCCTTGGTGGCCAGAGGATCCATGTGAGGAGAAGCTGGCAGGACCAGGACCCTCCCAGCTGCCAGCACCAAGGCCTGTGATGATGGTGTTCACCTTCCCAGTCCCCCCTGTCCCCATGTCCCTCCTTGTCAGGGGCACAGCCTGAGCCAGGAGCCCATCCCCACCCAAAACCATGGGTGCAGCCTCTCCCCAGGACATGAGGCCAGGCAGAAAGCAAAGATCAGGGCTCCACTGTCAGCATCAGCAAAGGTCACCTGCCTGTCCGTGAAGTCCAGGCACACCTGGATGGCCCTGGGGAGGCAGGGAAGGTGCAGGGGTGTCCAGTCAGGGTCAGTGAAAGCGTGGTACTGTCCAAACCACTGCCCCATGGCCCAGATGCCCTCCTGGGGTGTAAAGCTGAGGATGCCCTTTCTCCTGACAGATTCCTGGGCCACTCCCACAGCCCACCAGTCCCCTGCCTCAGCCACCTCCACCTGCCAGCAGTGTGTCCCCTCAGCAAAGCCCTGGCTGCCCAGCACACACGGCTCCGGGTCGAACCTCTCGGGGGTGTTGGGCAGCAAGGTCCACTCGTCCCCCCGTCCCACCCCTCGCTGGTCACTGGCCAGGATGAGGAAGGGGTTGGCGGTATCTGGGTCCAGGGTCATGGTGCCTGGGGACAGAGGAGGAGAAGCTGCTCAGAACAGGCAAACTGGGCTGCATCCACCCCAGCAAGACCAGGGACGGGGTGAGCTCCYTTCCCCTGCCATGGGAGAGCCCCCCTAGCTGGACTGTCCCACAATCGATGCTGCCCCAKTCCTGTCCCTGCCCCAGGGTCTTGCACAAGGGGACCTCAAAGGGACCTCAGTTTCCTGCAGGAGAATGCACCTGAGAGGGTGGGTGCCTGCCTGCAGTGCAGAGCCCTGCACCTGAGCTCAGGTGTTTCTGCTGCTGCAAGAGCAGAACAAGCAGGTCAGGGCACAAACCAGGGCAGACCACAATAGATGCTACCCCAAGACCCATAACCCATGGCCCCAAATTCCCGTTTCTTTCTGTGAGCCATGTAGGGGTGTCAGCTCAGGAGTGTTGCTGGTGCTGGGTCTCCAGATAAGCACCAGGAACTCACTGGGAGTGCTGCAGCCACCCAGTCCCACCCATGAAAGGCCAGGCTGGGACAAGCCCCCGTGCTTTGACCTTTGGTAGCACTCCCACAGCAGAAGCAGGATGCATTTTCTCCTCAACAGAGGACAGTTCCCCCTCCTCTTCCCTTCTGAAAACTCACCTCTTCCACTCATCCCCTCCACCTCATCCACCAGGGTCTCAGTCTCTTCTCTCTCCATTCTGGATGCCAGTATATCCACAGTCAATCAACAGATGGGGAGACAGCATTAACTGCTGAAAGTAGGAATTGCAAGATTTAAAGACTGCCTGAAGATGGTAAAGCAGACAAGGAATGATAGAAAGGTCCCAGCATTCAGACACCTTTTAGACATCCAGTGCTCACCTGCAGGCTGGCTTCAGGAAAGCAGGTTTGGGATGGGTTGGAAGGTCTTCGATCTGCTCCCCACTCCCCTGATCTCCTCATCAGCTTGTGGCTGGACTGGGCTTGCCCACAACTTCCAGCTTTGAGTGAGCAGGGCACAGTCCAGACGGGTTGGATGGCCTGGAGAGCAGAGCTGAGAGTCTGTCTGGGGACCATCCCACGGAGCTTCCCCCTCCCCTCCCCTGGTGAAGGCCCATGTGGGACCTCATCCAACACCTGAATTTGGCAATTCCTCCTGTTCCTGCAGTACCCAGTCCTGTTTATACCACGGGCTCTTCCCTCCCTTGGGCCAGCTGCAGGTGGCTGATAAGACTCTCCTGTGCTGGTAGAGTCTGCATCTCCCTGTGCCACACACTCAGAGCCCCACAGGCACCTCCAGCCCTTGGGGACACCAGGGACAGCAGCCAGAGAGCACTGSCCATGCTCYGMRTGTCCAGGCTGCATCCTGTGACCAGAGGGAGCTCTGGCTGATGTCCTGGGTGTTTGCCTGCAGGAGTTTTGTCCTCTGCCCGTGGGTTCCTGGTGGAGATGTTTGCAGGGCATGTGCCAGCTCGATTACTCAACTGGTAAATGGAGGGCAGCACATGCTGGGCTTTGCATCCCACCTCTCTGCTCCCCAGGCAGCTGCTCATGTGCCCGGGGCCATGGCCYCATCCTCACCCACAGGGAACGTGGGAGGTTCCACTCTGCTTTGTCACATCACTCTGAAGGCACCAGATGAACACAAATAAAGCAGGATGCAAGGGCAGCTGCTGCCAGGAGTCTTTGCAGACACCAGCATGGGCCCTCTGCCTGCCTGATAGCCCTGCCTGGAGCTTGGCTGGGCAGCTCCACTTCACCCATGACCAGCCCCTTTTGCAGCCTTTTGGCAGGTCTGACACCTTCCACTCCACATGGCTTGAGCTCTCACATCCTTCCCCCTGCACACCCAGGTGTCTGGGACCCCCAGCTTTGATCCCCAGTTTTGATCCCCAGCTTTGATCCCCAGTTTTGATCCCCAGCTTTGATCCCCAGCTCTGCACAGGAATGGTCACAAAAGCCAGGCTGGATCTTCCTGGAGTGAAGCCCATGGATTTGTGATCCCATCGGTAAGTTATGAGGTTAGATTATTGTGCTTCTTCCTGCTGTCATTTGTTGCCCAGGTCTGTGTTTCTGTAGCCTTCATTTGTTCCTTCCCTCGTTTTCTTGTCACTTGTTTTGGTCCCTGATCAGTCCCTTTGCCCCAGGTGCCCCCATGTGAGGTTGGTTTGGGGGTGCTGGACCCAGCTGTGCTGAGCTCTGCGGGCACTGCCTTCCCCTCTCTCGGGGCAGCAGCTTTCCCCAAAGGAACCATCCTCAACAGCCTTGCCTCTTGGCTGGGAACTGCTTTTAAGCTATCTTTAAATAAGTGCTGGGCTTTGCTGCCAGCCTGGCACTGCCTCTGGATGTGAATCCCGGCTCCATTGCCTCCCTCCTKCCAGGGTCACACAAACTGCAGCCCCTCCAGCCCTGSAGAGCCCCTGMAGCAGGGGATGGCTCTGAATGCTGCCAGAAGGGCATGTCCAGGGAAAAAGCAATGCCAAACCCCCCCAAATATTCATCGACTTTCACTTTTGAGTGGAAGCAGTGCTGGGACATGGTGACATTTTTGTTTCGTTTTCTGACAGGGAAAGACTTCTCTGGGACCCTCCGAGGTGGCAGCTGAGCAGCTCCTGCTCCAGCTCAGAGCACAGGAAAGAGCTCAGGGTCTCCATGTGTGTGGCATCTTTTGGGAATCTGCAGATGGAAATCACCCTCTGGCATCTTTTGGGAATCTGCAGATGGAAATCACCCTCTGGCATCTTTTGGGAATCTGCAGATGGGAATCACCCTCTGGCACATGCCAGAACTGCCCGTGGTTTCCATCTCTTGTTGGCAAAGTGGGTCAGTGGGCAAAAAGGGGGGTGGGAGAGCAGAGCAGGGCCAGTCCCATCCTGGCTGGGCCTTGGTCTTTCTATTGAGTCTGAAGTGAATGAATATCTCATCATAAAGTTTTATCAAAGGCCCATTGCAGGTGTTTTTTGACTGTTTCCCAATTCTGTTCCATTTCATKTCACAAAAGAGGAGTACCACATAGAAAGTTATGAATATGTTCCCAATCACAATGTAAGGATAGTTGAGTTCTTTGGCCTCAACTCTCACCAATCCACAGGAGAGCACTTTCCAAGGCATCAGATCTGGTCATTATTTCCTCATCAGTTGTTCTTGTGTTTGTAACTCTTTTGTAATATTAGTTAGGGCTTGTCCCATGGTGTGGGCACTTTGAATGGAGTTAGTTAAAGAAGCTGCAGTAGCCACAAAAGCTGTGGTTAATATTATTATGGCAGAAATAACGACAAAAATTAACCAACCCAGAAATTTACAAACTCATTTGTTACTCTTTTGAMTTTTCTCTTGGAACAGTCGAGCTAACTGTGAAAGACCATCTTGTCCTTCCCAAGTCCAAGTCAGATTTACAGGTACCCAGATTTCTGGTCTTCCCTTAAATGGAGGAAGAACAGAATATTTACCCATGTCTTCACTGGTTATACATTGTTTGAAAACAGAAGCATTAGCAGACAGAAAATACAAACCATTTCTATAATCTATCAAAAAGTTATTAGCTAAAGCAAAGGGTGTAAAGTACAAGTCATTAGTGATCATCTCTTKAACAACATTAAATTGGCAATTGTAACATTCTTATTCAAATTTACTTGATMTACCATGTTACCAAAAGCAGATATCAACATTCACAAATGTTTATGAGTACATGAYTGATTACTRCCTAAATATTGAATCAATGATCCAGCCATTCCACCATCATGCCAAACAATGCTGTGGTTTCACCTTTTGAACGGGAGAATGGTTGTATTTGTCCCCATTTCTCTAAGGATGTGTATCTCTAAGGATACCCTGTGTTGCAGGTTAGGTTTTTTCTTTTTGTTTTTTTTTTCTTAGGGAATTTTTCCCCATTATGGTGCTAATGAACAATAATGACCACGAACTTAGGAGAGACAAAAGAAGTTGCCAAGCTCAGGGGAGGAGAGCACCTGGCTGCACTTCACTTATCTGAGGGTTTTCTCTGGGAAGAGCAGAGAGTCCACGAGAACTGGGCAGGGAAAAGCGGCGCTGGGGTAGCTCGTTGCTCTCTTGCTCTCTCAGGTTTGAGGAGGACGGTGGAGCTGCTGCCTTGGGGGGACAATTCACTGTGGCTGATGGAGCCCAGCACCCTGCTCCTCTCCTGCCTAGGTGAGCCTTTGCTTGTAAGAGTGGCCCAAACTACATTGGGACATTATCAGCACCTGACCTCACCAAAGGGACCCTTCACCATCTGCTCAGGTGCCTCAGGGAAACCCGGGGACCTCCTCCCCACCAAAAACACCTCTCTCAATTGTGTTTGGGAGCTGTAGACACCCAGCCCCAGCTGTTTCTCTGCTGCTCTGGGGCCAGAAGCCCYGCGGTTCCAGCTACAGCTCTCCATTTCCGATACATCTCATCGACCAGTCCGGAGCTTTGCTGGTCCCTGCCTTAACGGCGTGCTGCTCCGCGGTTCCTGCCACAGTTCCACTTGCTGGAGGAGGCACCAGAATGGGCTCCCCTGTGAGTTCATAAAGGGAACCCTTTTCTCCATCAATTTCCACCAGCTGCATCCGCCATTACCGCGTGAGGGAGAGAGAACCAGCGGGACCGCTGCGCCACAGCGCCCCCTGCCGGCAGGGAGGAATCACCGCGCAGCGCCCCCTGCCGGCGGGGAGGAATCACCGCACAGCGCCCCCTGCCGGCGGGGAGGAATCACCGCACAGCGCCCCCTGGCGGCGGGGAGGAATCACCGCACAGCGCCCCCTGCCGGCGGGGAGGAATCACCGCACAGCGCCCCCTGGCGGCGGGGAGGAATCACCGCACAGCGCCCCCTGCCGGCGGGGAGGAATCACCGCACAGCGCCCCCTGCCGGCGGGGAGGAATCACCGCACAGCGCCCCCTGGCAGCGGGGAGGAATCACCGCACAGCGCCCCCTGGCGGCGGGGAGGAATCACCGCACAGCGCCCCCTGCCGGCAGGGAGGAATCACCGCGCAGCGCCCCCTGGCACCGGGGAGGAATCACCGCACAGCGCTCCTGGCACCGGGGAGG